TCAGCAGTTCAGCTCAAGGCGAGCACTCTACCACTTGAGCTACAGCGCCACTTCCGGTTTTCTGGTGGTTTATTGGAGATAGGAGTCTCACAGTCTCTCCTGCCCAGGCTGGCTTTGAACCGAGATCCTCAGATCTCAGCCTCCTGAGTAGCTAGGATTACAGGCGTGAGCCACCAGCGCCCGGCTCCTCTTCTCTTGATGGTTGAGTCCTCCATCTGGGCTCAGCCTTCTTCATCTCAGAGAAGACCAGCAGTCTGTTGGGCCTGCCTTGAATCACTAAGTCCCTTTTCTCTGAATGCTTCCTGCCCCCTTCCCACCATGCCTTCTGTACAGTCCCCAGGCTCTGTGGAGTCTACATACCTTGGGCTGCCATTGCTTCTGAAAAGAGGGAAGCCTCACTCTTGATCACTGCAGATGGACACCTCACCCCCAGAATTCTAAGTTGCCTGAGTGGAGACATCTCTTGTCCTCTTCTCTTGACTGGCAGGTGGGAGTCGTTCAGTATGGAGAAGACGCAGTCCATGAGTTTCACCTCAATGACTATAAGTCTGTAAAAGACGTGGTGGAAGCTGCCAGCCATATTGAGCAGAGAGGAGGGACCGAGACCCGGACAGCATTTGGCATTGAATTTGCTCGGTAAAATTATATGTACACATCTAATCTCAGATACGGTGCTAGCTGTCTGTCCCTGTGCAGGAAACATCACGAAAAGTGGTGCCAAGATGGTCATTTATAGAACCCTTAGAGCTCAGCAGGTAGACTGAGTTCAGTCTTCCTGTTGATACCATCTGGGTGTCAGCTGGCACTGTGGGGTCTGAAGCTCACCTGGCATCCGGCTCATGTGACTGTCCAAGTTTGCTGGCTGCTGGCTGGGCGTTTGGCAGAGGCTGGTAATATGTGCTTCCCACATGGGGCCACAGGGCCTGCCACACAGGGCCATGGGGTCTGCTGGCCCATGTTGTGGCCTTTGAGTTCTGAGAGGGAGCATCCTGAACTCATGTGTCCTGAAGGCCCAGCAAGTTATGGGGGAGAGGGGGACTGTCTGTGACCTGGTATCCAAGCTCCAGAGTGGACTGCCATATCCTAATCCATCAGACAAGTTCCTCAGGCCCAGCGCAGACTGGTAGGGAAGAGAATGTGGCTGTGGCCAACTCTGCCACTCAATGGGGAACAGCAGAGGGCCCGGGGATGGAGAGTCTATGGCAGCTGATTTGGGGACTCATGCTCTGCCACAGCCAGCCTACGGAGGGTGTGAGCTCAATGAGGGAAACGCCATGACTGATGGTGTGGAAAGAACATGGATAGATCTAATACATGAGGTTGTAGTGAGACTTGTTCCTTCCCTCACCCCAGAATCCACTCATCCACATGAATGCTACCAGAAGGCACAGGCGCATTCCAGTAACATGGTATCTGTCCCAGTGAAATTTGCCAGGTCTTATTGTTGTTGTTGTTGTCTGGGCACTGTCCCTTAGCTCTTCAGCTCAAGGCGAGCGCTCTACCACTTGAGCCACAGCGCCACTTCCAGTTTTCTGGTGGTTTATTGGAATAAGAGTCTCATGGACTTTCCTGCCCGGGCTGGCTTTGAACTGCAATCCTCAGATGTCAGCCTCTTGAGTAGCTAGGATTACAGGTGTAAGCCATCAGTGCCTGGCTGAAATTGGCCAGTTTTAAAGGCCAGTCCCCAAGACCTCAAGCCAAGGCCTAGACTCCTAAGTTGACTATTTCTGTGACCTTCTGTTCTATGACCTTCACTGAGACGCCAGTTCTATACCATATGGTCCCACCTCCTTCATGGCTGGCCAACGTGTTAGAGCCATTTAGTGTGTCCTGGATGTCATGCAGCTAAAAGAATCTCCCTCCGCTAGGTTGGGCTGAAATCCTAATCTTCCCTGATCATTGTGCTAAGGATGCTTCTGCAGCCCTCCTCCGGTAGCCCATACTAGATCAGAGAGGTTTATGTTTAAGTCAGCCATGTCCAGAATATCAGGCTGCTGTTACAAGAATGCCAGATGGGTTTTCCTCATCACTAGTTGCTTAGGGAGTTCTAAACTAACTCAGTGCAGGGTTCATGAATTCCTCAACATCTGATGCCCAGCGCATCTGATTGCCATCTATACACAAGATGTCTGCTAAACCTCTGGTCCTCGACCCCGGCATAGAGCTCAGATCTGAAAGCCGCCCTTCCTGACGCTTTGTGACAGGAACAGGGGTCAGACCCACGAGGGATCACCACAGAGCTCAAAAGCCATGTTTATTTTTAAATCCTCACTGGGAAATTCTACCTTCCAGACCAGACTTTTGGGCGAGATTAGGTCTGTTCTTCTCAGAACCCTGTGGGGTGAAGGAGGGCTGGCTACAGAGGCACCAAAGAGCGTTTCCACACTTTGTAGTAGGATTGCCAGCATTTAAAATAAGGGCCTTTTTCTGGTTGGGTGTGCCCTGCTATCTCTTGGACTGCACAGAATAACAGGTAAAGAGAGCTCGTGCTCTAATCACTGACTATAAAATGAAAACGAACAATAGAAATATTTTCCATGGAGCTGGATGCCAGTAGCTCATGCCTGTAATGCTAGGTGTTCAGGAGGCTGAGATCTGAAGAGTGTGGTTCAAAGCCAGCCCCGGCAGAAAAGTCTGTGAGACTCTTATAAACCACTCAGAAACTGGAAGTGGTGCTGTGGCTCAAGTGGTAGAACACTAGCCTTGTGCAAAAGAGCTCAGGGAACGTGCCCAGGCCCTGAGTTCAAGCCCCATGACCGACAAAGAAAAAGAAAAGAAATATTTCCCATGCAATTTGAGATTTCGTATTTCCTCAAATAGCAGCTTTTCTTGTGGGAGAGTCAGTGTTGGTCAAACTGCATCCAATGTTCTGTGTTGACATTGCAGCAACCCTGGGCCCTAACTTCTGGGTCCTTAGAGGAGCGATAGGAGAATAAATGCTTTGTAGAACTTTCAAAAAACACATTATGCCAACACCAGACCCAAAGAGTCTAATTGCACGGATCTGTGTGGGAAATGGGCATGAATTGTGCTTTAAATGTCCTCTAAGAAGGTCTAATGTGCAGCTAGGTTTTATATGTATATGTGTTTGTTTGGGTTTTTTTTTCTGGTCATGGGGCTTGAACCCAGGGCCTGGAGCTCTTTTGCTCAAGGCTAGTGCTCTTCCACTTTGAGCCCACAGCTCCACTTCTGGTTTTCTGGGGGTTAATTGGAGAAAAGCTACCAGAGCCAGATTCAAATCACAATCCTCAGATCTCAGCCTCCTGAGTGGCTAGGATTACAGGTGTGAGCTACTGGTGCCTGACTGCCGCTGGGTTTTTGAACTACTAACTTAGCTTCCCAAAGGGGGGGTCTTGTTGTGCACCTCTCCTCCTGCTGCCCTAATGGCCCCGAACAGCAAGCTCAGGAGTCTATAAACACATGGATCCAAGCCCCACCTGGGAAGCTGGTGAAGGGTGGTTCTGGCCATGCCAGCCAGATGCTTTGATATGAGGTCCAAAGATGCTGGCTTGTTGAGTTTCCAAGAGGTCCCAGCCCTGGCTCCCACAGTTGCCCTTCCCCCACCTTCGTCTTACCACCTGCCCTGTCCCTGTACCCCGTTCCAGCTCGGAAGCATTCCAGAAGGGTGGAAGGAAAGGGGCCAAGAAGGTGATGATTGTCATCACAGATGGGGAATCTCATGACAGCCCGGACCTGGAGAGGGTGATCCGGCAAAGCGAGAGGGACAACGTGACCAGATACGCCGTAGCCGTGAGTCCTACCCCACCCACCCTGTGTGGCTAAGAGTCCTACCCCACCCAAGGGTTCTGGCAACACTCAGGGGCTTAACCCTGAAACCCCTGGGGACCCTCGAATCCATGAGGATCTCAGCACTGCCTGGGCCTGTCCACGAAGTTGTGGGTTTGTTTCTTCTTTCCTTTGCCAGGGAGTTTCAGAAACCTCAACATGCAGAAAATACCCCAGCCTCCCAAGGCCCAAATCCCAGCTTAGCAAAAGGACCCACAAAGAGAATCTGGAGGCGTGGCTCAGAGGCAAAAGCATCAGCTTAGGAAACTAAGCTCCTGAGATCAAACTCCAGTTAACTGCCAAAAAGAAGAAGAAGAAGGAAGAAGAAAGGAGAGGAAGAAGAAGAAGGAGAAGAAGAAAAAAGAAGAGGAAGAAGAAGAAGAGTAAGAAGAAGAAGAGGAAGAAGAAGAGGAAGAAGAAGAAGAAGAAGAAGAAGAAGAAGAAGAAGAAGAAGAAGAAGAAGAAGAAGAAGAAGAAGAAGAAGAAGAAGAGGAAG